GGAAAATACTTTTCTCCACTTATGGAGACAAGATGGTTAACTTAGTTCTTCCAAAATGTTTTTAAAATTCTAGTTTCTTTTAAAACAACCACAGCAAACTGCATGGATTGGTTCCACGTCTTTGGAAGAAAAGCATCATCTTACTTGTTTCATGGAAGGTCATTCGGTATGGCTCCACTTGGGCAGGTGTGGTTTTGTTTCCTCATGCCTCTGCAATGCCTGGGAGTCGCCCTCGCCTTACTCACTGCGGCTGGATCGAGACCAGCCTCCTCACTCCTCCCACAGCCTCCCACGTGGGGCACTTCACATTTGAAGGCAAAGTCAAAGATTTTTAGTGCAAATGTTCGTGTTTTCTTGGTGACTAGTGAATGGCTGCAAATTAGGAACGTGGTCCTCTGGGTGTAATAGAAGGCTGTTGAGTGTTTCTGTGAAGATCTCCCTGTGAAGAAACAGCTGCAGTGAGAGAGTAGCATGAGGTGGGACGCTGCTCCCAGGACGTGGGGTCAGGGAGGAGCTGAGCCCAGGACGGGCCGCAGGAGGGGCCAAGTGGGCAAAGCCAGGGCTGGAAGGGGAGAGCCAAGATTCACACTGCGTCTGACAGGGATGGCACAGAAGCCCGAGAGGCCACGGCCAAATGTGGAAATTAGCTTGGCCAAAGCTTGCATTTCAGAGAGAAAAGGCAATAAGGCATTCATGCTTGCCTTGTTTAATTTTTGTAGTTTTCCCTTTCTTCCTGCAAATAGCTTGCTTTGTTATCCAGAGGGTAGCTACAATTTTAGCTCACAGTGATGTCAACTTGAAGCTTCTCTCCACAAGCAGCTGCCACCTCAGCTAGTGTAGTCAGCCTTCCCAGCCTCCCTCCCCAGCCTCCCTGGTCTCCCAGGGACAAGTCTCAGTGCTGGCTTCACAGTCACTGCAAGTGCACGACCCCCAAGGCCTAGGAATGATTAGCGTGGACAGCACCCAGCACACTTGCCTTAAAAAGTATGAAGAAATAGGATACGTGCTGTTTGTTCTCATGACTATAGCACAAACTATAAAGCAAAACATCTTCCTCCAGAACATAGCAAGCTGGATGGGTGGTGATCTGGACACGCATTTCCTATAGGTTTTGCAACTGGGGTTCAGTGAGTACTGGTCTCCCCCGAGCACATGTGTGGAGACAGTTAAGTTGCTCCCATTTTCCAAGACTCAGAGGGGATGTATTTACATTAAGAATATAACTTGCTATTAATGCAACTTCAGAATGTCCAAGTCATCTGCTGGAAAAAAACAAAAATCGAGAAAGTCTGGGGTGGTTCGCGCTGTGGCTATGCGGGCGGATCCACACCCAAGCCTCCGTCTCCGGAAGTCCCATGCTCTCTCTCCTGTGTTGCCCCCCCTATTCCTTTTGAAGTCTTCATGTTAGTGACAAGTTCAATTTTGTCAACTTCAAAATTGCAGAAAAGGAATTTCTACTTCCTACTCAAGTTGTATCATTTATCTTCCATGGTAACTTCATTTCAATTAAACTTTTAACCGTCTGGAATCTTTGCCCTCTTATGTGACAAAAATAGACATTAAATTGCATAATTTCTTAAATTCTCTGTTGAAAAGTCCTAATAAATTACTGTATATGATAAAGATTAATAAGAATTTGCGCCCATTAAATATAAGATAATTTCGCAGTTTAAGGTAATTTCATAGCTTAAGATAATTTCACACCCCAAGGGACGCATAACCCAAACAGAAAGCAGATGAACTAACATTAACTGTCAGCTGTCCACTGAAGAACTATCCCGGGCAAAAAATAAAATTTGGATTAGCTCTCTACGGTACACAGCACTTTTTTGAACCATCTCTTTTGGGTTGGCAGCTGCAGTGCATTCTGAGAGTATAGTAATGCTACAACAGCAGAAAAAATAAAATTAAGTTGGGAACATACCGAAAAAAGAGATTGATTACATTATTCCTAATGAGGACCTGAAACAAGTTGGCCCTAAATCAGATTTTGTCAGAAAGGAGAAAATAAATGAGAGAAAAGAAAATAAAAAAGAGAGCGTGGCAGGATTTTATATTCTGCTCCCTTTTTGGAAAAGCGTATTTGGGTGAACCACAGGAAACTGCCACTCAAAACCACATGCGTGTTGGTCATTGCGTATGGCTCAGTCTAGTCTTGTCATCACGGAGATATCTGCTAGACATCTGAGAAGGATTTCTTGGTGGTCCTTTCAAACGGTGAGTGGGTGCTGCCACCTGGCTCCTCCGGGCTGCTTGACCAGCAGGTGCGTGCATGTCTCACACAGGTCATCTTCTCCATTAGCAGATGCTGAACAGTGAAAACAGCACCTTTACTCTGAAAACACCCAGGCACCCTCCTCCAGTAAGTCTCAATACAGAGTTTTAGACTTAAAGAATACTTAAGACGTACAGAATCCATTTTTTTTAAGCTAAGGAAAAGGAATGAGCTCTCACATCTGCAAAGAATGCCTTTAAACGGAATGTCAAAAACTAACAGAAATTGTTTATTCCAGCATGTTCAGACCACCCTCTCTGTGGCCAGACTTGGGGCCATGATCACATTCTTGCTTTGTTGTCTAAAGAATGTGGTCTTGCCAAAGTTGTGCAAGCCCCATGACATGTGCCACATGATATGAGTCATTTTATCACGCAAGCACCAGAAGGAATCTTCACAGCCGTGTCATTACAGAGACAGCAGGCGAGACGGAGCCGGGCTCCTCCTTCCTCCCCTGCACACCCCTGGCCGGGCTGCCAGGGCCGCAGGTGGACTGCGCCTGTCCACTGGTGTGTGCTCAGCTGTGGGCTCCTCACCAGCCTGTGTCCACTCGGTTGGTGAAGCAGAACCGCCAGACCTCAGAAAGCTGTCCTGGGGCATCATGGGTAAGCAAAGACTGCTGGCTCTTGTACCAGGCAACCTGGCCTAGTGTCCGAACCTGCACCTTCCTTGAGACGTGAGCGCCCTGGCCTGCAGCTGAGCCCTGCGAGCCATCCTGGCTGCACTGCCCTGCATGAGGTGCAGCTGGAAAGCCTGGCTCAGTCCTCATCACACAGACCTAAGAAGAGGCCAGGGCCTCTCAGCCTGATCAAATCGACAGATTTGGCATGGGAAAGTAAGCCTTTAAATGGATCTTCCAAGACAGAATGACATGGCTTCTCTTGACAAGTATTTGGAAAGGGGCTAAGAATAACCACAATGCCTATCAAACACACAGGGCTAGAACAAAAATGAGACATGAAGAGGAATCAAGTGAGAAATAAAAAGTCCTGCATAAATATATTATTTTTATTACTACCTTTTGATGAAGGCAGAGCAACCAGCCACTACATCGTAACACATTGTTCACGACTCGAGAACATTTCATTACGGATAGAATAGCACAGATAAAAATACACATGACACATCACGCCATTAGCAAGGCAGATCTCTGAGGCATCCACTCAGTATCACCTACTCTTCCTCTGTGGTGTGGAGAGCACTGCTGATGAGAACCAGGCAGGGATGCCTCCTGAGTGCACAGCGGCCTGGTACTCGGCCCGGAGCCAGAGGCCACACCACAGCCCTGCTGTCCATGTCCCGCCGACTTTGTTCTCTGCCTTCCTGGCTGCTGTCCTCCCAGGAAGTCCTCAAGGGCAGAGGGCTGATACTGATGTTCTGATACTGCAAGCTGACACGCTCTCTTCTTAGCAGTGGCTTTGCAAGTCTGTCCTAAGTCTTCCCCTGATAGAAGTCTCTAATAAACTTGGTACTTTACACAGTAGACTTTCCTTTTTTCACATAGTATTCAGCTATTATTATTTAGATTAAATAATTTTATATTTCTTTTTCTTAGAGTCATATTTGGCATAACTGGAATATGACTTACTTTGGAAAAATTTGTACAAAAACCATAGCAGTATGTGTCAGAAACAATATGTGTCAAAATTTTAAATGATTTACTGAAATTAAGAATATTAAGACACTGGGTTTTCTTGCCCTATATCTGCTTTATTTATCTATTTTTAACTAGTTTTAAATAAATTTCATTTTAACAAAGGGAAACAATATATATATATATATATATATTTTTTTTGAGATGGAGTCTCGCTCTTGTTACCCAGGCTGGAGTGCAATGGCGCAATCTCGGCTCACCGCAACCTCCGCCTCCTGGGTTCAGGCAATTCTCCTGCCTCAGCCTCCTGAATAGCTGGGATTACAGATGCGCGCCACCATGCCCAGCTAATTTTTTGTATTTTTAGTAGAGACGGGGTTTCACCATGTTGACCAAGATGGTCTTGATCTGTTGACCTTGTGATCCACCCGCCTCGGCCTCCCAAAGTGCTGGGATTACAGGCTTGAGGCACCACGCCCGGCCCGGGAAACAATATATTTTTAAATGCCTGGGTAACTCTAAGTATTAGAAAAATAAAAATGAGTTATTCTAAAGTTTCGCTTCTCAAAAATGTTAAGAGAAAAATGCATGCACATTTATGGTCAATGTGTGAAAGTTCCAGTAAGGATCCCAGGAAGTCAACCTTGTGACATTTTGTAGAAGGCGAGGTAACAGCACACTGCATTTCTTGCAAAAACAGAGACAAGCGGTGGCCAGTGGAGCTCTGGGTGGGATGAGAGTCCCCAGCTCCCAAGCTGCATGGATAAGAGAGAACACTCTACATCGGGGCGTTCCCCACTGGTCCCAGGAGTCCTCACGTGGGCATCGCAGGCTGCTGAGGTTACCTGGAATCTTGAAGTGCCTTGGAAGCATCCTCACTCGTCTAGGACCCTATAACCATGGGGTTCTGGGATCTCAGGAATCCCATATATGCAGAGTCAATTCCCAGGACAGCTATTTATCACTGATAAACATGTCCAAGCAGTCTGTGGAGCCCTGCCTCAGTTGTACAACTATCAACTATGGGAGGAAGGCCCAGAAGCCATGCTGTGCACACAGACAGCGTCCTGGGGCAGAGGCCACACTCACCACGCAGAGCCATGGGCCCGCTAATCAGAAGACCAGAGCCAGTTAGGACTGTTTACTGCTTTATTTTCACTTCTCAAAAGAAATCCTCCCTCTTTTTCCTTCCAGGGCTAATCATCAAACAAATACTGTATTATTTTTTATTGAAGGATATTCTGTTGTAACTTTACCAAATTCTGTGCAGAAGTACTGGATGCCATTTCCATTTTCCCAATGAGTGGTAACCCTTTTGAGGAGCAGAAAGACGTAAAACGTTAACAGCGGAACATGCAGGGTGTGGGAGCTTGCAGAAGGGGAAGCTGAAGCAAGTCTCCAAGTATGAGAAGCAGTTGCTGCCCTGGCCCCGGGATGGATGATCCACCACTTCTTCCTTTTCAGCATTCCTGCGCCCAGCTCACAGGTCAGCAGCTACTCAGCTAGAAAGAGCTGGAGCTTACCATCCAAGGTGGCTGTGGTGAGCTGCAATTGAAAATAAAAGACCGTGTGATTCCAATCACCTTTTATTAATTGAGAACTCTGTAAGAAAATAAGCCAAAAGTGTATATTTTCCTTATTTGTAATGTTCCAGACCACAGAGTAACACACACATCATAGTAGAATCTATATATACAACAGATAGAATGCCGACAATTAATTAATTCAAACTACATTTCATTGCTGTTTTAATAAGTTTAGGGGCCCTGGTCAGAGCTGATCTATCTTGGGTGCACAAAAGGGCACGGGACATCCTGGTTAGCACCTGTACACCTCCTTCCAGGCAGAGCTGAAGAGGAAGGCTCAGGAGAGCACTCCTGATCGAGAAGGAGGAGGAGGAGGAGGTGGAGGAGGAGGAGGAGGAGGAGGAGGAGGAGGAGGAGGAGGAGGAGGAGAAGGAGGAGGCGGCGCCAGGAATCTGCCCCCTACAGACAGCAACCGTACTGGGAAACTCTGATGTACACACTTCCAGGACTTTGAATTTCTGGAGTCTGTTGAAGGCTTGCAATGTCCAGGGGAACACTTGAACTATAAATTGTGGTCAATTTTTGTCAACTTCAGATTCTGGCACATTAGCAGCTCCCCTTCCCCTGTCCCCACCCCCATGCACAACTTTCAAAAGCGATCTGCACAGGGCCTGCAGAAACCAGGATGGGTAGAAAGCACCCAGCCTCCAAATATCAGGGACCTGTGCTCTGATCAGTGATGGATGCTTCTTACTACAGAGGTGCAAAGAGGCAGGCAGCCATTGTTACCCCTCCCACATGGCTACGAGCCCCTCTTCTCCAGGAGAAGCAACTTCCAAAGCATTGACGATGCCAACGCCCTTGACTTCCACTTTAATTTTCTCTCCTCCCCTTATGGGAGCTGGCCAGTAAAAAATGAGACTTCAAAAACAACTATGTACTTGGGAAAAATCAGAAAGTGACTATGGAGGCCAAGGTGGGTAGATCACTTGAGGTCAGGAGTTTGAGACCAGCCTGACCAAAATGGTGAAACCCCATCTCTATTAAAAACATAAAATTAGCTAGGTGTCATGACGGGCACCTGTAATCCCAGATTCTCTGGAGGCTGAGGCATGAGAATCACTTGAACCCAGGAGCTGGAGGTTGCAGTGAGCCAAGATTGTGCCACTACACTCCAGCCTGGGCAACAGAGCAAGTCCCTGTCTCAAAAAAAAAAAAAAAGTGACTGTGGACCATGCATGCCACAGGAAAGGCTCAAAAAAAAGAACTAAGGAGATTTGAACTTTACAGCTCAGGCTGGTCCCTGGGGCAGAGTCAAGCTACAACAGTCAAAATAAACAAAAACAATAAACAAAACAATGACAAAAATCAAACCCAAGGGAAGGGGGAGAACCTTACTTCAGAATTACCAAAATACCACGTTCAATTGTCAAGTTTTCAATAAAAGGTCACAAGGCATTCAACGAAATAGGAAAGTATGGCCTATTCAAAGGAAAAAGATACCAACAGATCAATGGAAATTGTCTCTGAAAAGAATCAGATGGCACATCTACAGCACAGAGACTTTAAAACAATTGTTTTCAATTACTCGAAAATTGAAGAGAGATGTGGATAAAGTCGGGAAAATTATGTATGTATTCATACATAATTTTGGAACATCAATAAAGAGATAGAGAACCTAAAATTAAACAAAAAAATTTTGAAGCTAAAAATATATAATAATGGAAATAAAGTATCCCCTAGAGGAATTAAAAGGCAGAGTTGAGCAGGTGGAGAAAAAATAGAAACAATCAAGTCTGAGGCACAGAAATTTAAAAAAGGACTGAAAAAACAGAGCCTAAAGGGCCTATGGGACACCATCAAGGGCCCAACTTACACATTGCATGAGAAAACATAACAGTGGCAAACTCCCACATTTGATTTTATAAAATGATTATAAATGTATATCCAAGAATTCAATAAACTCCAAGTAAGAGGAACTCAAAAACTCCCACACTGAGACACACCACCATCAAACTTTCAAAGGCCAAAGGCAAAGAGAGAATTCTAGAAGGAACAAGAGAAAAGTCTTATCACACACAAAGGATTCTCTGAGATTATCAGCAGATTTCTTCTCATAATAAACTTTGCAGACCATAAGGCAGTGGTCTTATTCAGTAGACTAAAAATAAAACTCAAACAAACCCCCAAAAAACTATCAACCAAGAATCCTTTAACAGCAAAGATGCCATTCAAAAGTAAGAGAAAAATTAAGACATTCCCAGATAAATGAAGCTGAGGACATGTGTTACTACTAGACCTTGCCTGCCAGAAATGTATAGAGGAGCACCACAAGGTGGAAAAAAAAGGACCCTAGACAGGAATTTGAAGCTCTATGAAAAAATAAAGATCTCAATAAAGGGAAGCTCATGGGCAGTTATAAAAGCTATTATTATAACAACACTGTATAATTTCACTTTTTTGTTTCCCACATGATTCAAAAGACTAAAATATTTTTTAAAAGATTAGTCTAAAAGGTAGTATTATCATAACTTTGGTTTGCAACTCCACATTTTGTTTTCTACATAATTTAAGAGACTGATGTATTTAAAATAATCACTGTTTTATATTTTGGGGAACAAAATGTGTAGAAATATAATTTTGTGACATCAACAACTGATGGGTGGGGAAAGAGATGTAAAGGAACAGAATTTTTGTGTCACTGAAATTCACTGTTATAAATTCAAAGTAGAGTGTTATAATTTTAGAATACTACATGTAATTCCCATGGTAGCCACAAAAGCAAAAGAGCTATACAATGTACAAAAAAGAAATTGAGAAAGAAACTAAAACATTTCCCTAAAAATTTTATTAAAGAGTGACCAGTAATACAGAAAATAAGGGACAAAAATTATAAGGCATATAGAAAACAAACAGAAACATGGCAATAATAAGTCCCACCTTATCAGTAATTAGCTTAAATGTAAATGAGAGGGTAGATTGACAGAATGGATTAAAAACACATAATTCAACTACAGTTGCCCCTCAGTATACTTGGGGGATTAGTTCCAGGAACCATAAAATTAAATCTGTACATACTCAAGTCCCATAGTTGGCCCTGTAAAGCCTGCATATACAAAAACTTGACCTTCCATTTATGTGAGTTTTACATCCCATAAATACCACAATTTTTATTTGCATTGGTTAAAGAAATTCACATACAAGCAGACCTGCACAGTTTGAACCCATGTTGTTCAAGTGTCAACTGCCTATGCTGTCATATACATTATTTTTGAATGGAGTGGTGATCAAAAGAAAGCAGGGATAGATACACCAATATCAGAAATAAAAAGCTTTAAGTCAAAAAGGCTAAAAGAAACAAAAAAATTATATATAAATGAAAGATAATACAAGGAAATATGAATATTATAAACATTTACATATCAAATAACAGACCATCAAGATATATGAAACAGAAACAAATAGAATTTAAGGAAGAATAAACAGTTTTACAATAATAGCTGAAGATCTCAATACTCCTCTTTTAATAATGGATAGGACAACAGGACAGAAGAGAGGCAAGGATATAGAGAATTTACACACCATGATAAACCAACTAGATCTGATAAACACTTTACCAAACAAGAACAGCACACAGCATACGTATTCTTCTCAAGTGCACATGGGACATTTTCCCAGGACAGACCATATGTTAATGCACAAATTAAATCTCAATAGATTTTAAAACATAAACAACATACACAGCATCTTCCCTGACCATACTGGATGAATTTAGAAATTGGTAATAGAAGTTAAACTTGAAAAGTCAAAAATTGTGGAAATTAAATGACACACCCAACCAACCAATGGATCAAAGAAGAAATAATAAGAAAATTAGAAAATGCTTAGAGATAAATAAAAATAACACACCATGCAAAAAAAATCTGTTACACAGCAAGAACAATGCTAAGGGGGGAATTTATGCTATAAATGCATATACATGAGCTCAAATCAGGAACCTAACTTTACAACTTGTAAACTAGAGAAAGAACAACAGCACATTGCAAAGCTAGCAGAGAAAGTAAATAAGAAAGATTAGAGCAAAAATAAAGAAAATGGAGAAAAGAAAAACAAAAAAAACAAGGAGACAAAAAAAAAGATTTATTGAAAAAAAACAGAATTGAGAAACCTTTAACTATATGGACTAAGAAAAATAAATAAGATTCAAATTACTAAGTCAGAAATCAAAGTTGTGGACATTACTACTAATTCTTCAGAAAAAAATGATTATAAGAAAGCACTATGAACTATTGTATGCCAGCATATTGGATATCCTAGATAAAATGTACAAATTCCTAGAATCACAAAACTGACCAAGATTGAATCACAAAAAATTATCTAAAATTTGAATAGACCTATAACTAATAAGAAGACTAAATCACTAACTAAAAAAATCTTCTGACACCTGTAATCCCAGCACTTTGGGAGGTCGAGGTGGGTGGATCACGAGGTCAAGAGATCGAGACCATCCTGGTCAACATGGTCAAACCCCGTCTCTACTAAAAATACAAAAAATTAGCTGGGCATGGTGGCGCGTGCCTGTAGTCCCAGCTACTCGGGAGGCTGAAGCAGGAGAATTGCCTGAACCCAGGAGGCGGAGGTTGCGGTGAGCCGAGATCGCGCCATTGCACTCCAGCCTGGACAACAAGAGCGAAACTCCGTCTTAAAAAAAAAAAAAAAAATCTTCTGACAAAGAAAAATCTTAGGCTGGGCACAGTGGCTCACATCTGTAATCCCAGCACTTTGGGAGGCCAAGGCAGGCAGATTACCTGAGGTCAGGAGTTCAAAACCAGCCTGACCAACATGGTGAAACCCCATCCTTACTAAAAATATAAAAATTAGCCAAGTGTGGTGGCACGTGCCTATAATCCCAGCTACTCGGGAGGCTGAGGAAGGAGAATTGCTTGAACCTGGGAGGCGGAGCTTACAGTGAGCTGAGATAGTGCTGCTGCACTCCGGCCTAGGCAACAGAATGAGAGA